CAGGAGTAGGATGTGTATGTCTTCTGTACTTTTAGAAAAGAGTTACTTATCTTTCATTGCACACTAACACATCTTCCTTCCCTGGAGAGCTGAATCATGGTAGGAGTACTGCAGAAAGGGATCTAGGGGGTCATAGTGAACCACAAGCTAAATATGAGTCAACAGTGTGACGCTGTTACAAAAAAAACAAACATTCTGAGATGCATTAACAGGTTTGTTGTGAGCAAGACACGAGAAGTCATTCTTCTGCTCTACTCTGAGCTGATTAGGCCTCAGTTGGAGTATTGTCCAGTTCTGGGCACCATATTTCAAGAAAGATGTGGAGAAATTGGAGAAGGTCCAGAGAAGAGCAACAAGAATGATTAAAGGTCTAGAGAACATGATCTATGAAAGAAGACTGAAAGAATTGGGCTTGTTTAGTTTGGAGAGGAGAAGACTGAGGGGGAACATGATAGCGGTTTTCAGGTATTTAAAACGGTGTCACAAGGAGGAGGGAGAAAAATTCTTCTCCTTATCCTCTGACAATAGGACAAGAAGCAATGGGCTTAAACTGCAGCAAGGGAGGCTTAGGTTGGACATTAGGAAATACTTCCTAACTGTCAGGGTGGTGAAACACTGGACTAAGTTGCCTAGGGAGGTTTTGGAATCTCCATCTCTGGAGATATTTAAGAGCAGGTTAGATAGACATCTATCAGGGATGATCTAGATAGTACTGGGTCTTACCATGAGGGCAGGGGACGGGACTCGATGACCTCTCGAGATCTCTTCCAGTTCTAGTGTTGTATGATTCTATGTTATGTTCTTAAATTGGGACCCAGAAAAAGAACTAACTATAGAACAATACAGAATTATGTGTAATTTTGAACTGTGTAGTAGAATGATGTTTATGGAACCCTCCTTTCTGTAGCCTAGGTGTGATTTTAATAATTTAACACACAACCTCACTTGTATGCTTAATTTTAAGACCGTGACTAATCCCACTGAACTATATAGGGCTGTTCTTCTGCTTAAAGTGAAGTTTAAGTCTTTGCAAGATTGGGGCCTAAATTATATACTGGAATCTAAATAGCTTTTATTCGGAGTTACATGCCTACCAGAAAGGTACAGTAAAATTCTGGCATTGAGATTGAGGGTATGTCTATATTGCAAAATAGACAAAACAACAAACAAAACTCTGTAGTAGCACGTCTCAGAGAACTTGGGTCTAATGAGTTGGGCTCATGCTATGGAGCGAATAGTAGCAATGTCGATGTTCCATTTGGGCTGCTGTCCAGGCTTTGAGACCTGGTGAGAAGACAAGTGTCGGTTCCAGCCTGTATTGGAATGTTTATGGTGCAGTTTTTAGCTTTGTATTGTGAGCCCAAGTTTACCTGGGCTCTGAGTCTTTCTGCTACAGGGTGTTTTGTAGGTGTATGCATACTCTTAAGACTCCTAGAGGAATGCCTCCACCCAAACAAAGTGTACAATCCTTTCCTTAGGGAATCAGCTCACAGGTCCCTCTAGAACAAATAATTTTCTCTAGAAAACTAAATCAAGTAGAAATAGAAATATCCTCAGAATTGTAAATTACAATGATTATTTACAGCAACATTAGCAGTTATATCCATCTTCAGCATTTGAGTGGTGGTTGGAAAATATTGGCATTTGAGTATTAGTTGCCTACGGTACAGTAAATAGTTATGTAGCATTTTCTACTAAGCTGGTACAGGTTGGATTTCCTTGGTCCAGCACCCTCGGGACTTGGCTGGTTCCTCTACAGTTCAGCTGAGCTGCACACCAGCTCCTGGCTCCTTCCCAACCTGGTTGAGCTGTGCGCCGGCTTCTGGCACCCTCCACCTTGCAGCCCAGCTGAACCCAGTGGAATTATTTAACTCTTATCACTTTAATAGCTGATGTGTGTAATGTAAAGAAACAAATGTAGCTGTGAACCATAATGCTGCAGACTTTGTCTGAAAGTGTTCTTGGGAATTCCATTATCAAAAAAGCTCAAATATTATCTTTCTAAATACTGTTTTTTTAAAAGAAAACTATACGATTACGTACCATTTCATAAACTATAGAAATAATTGGGTTAATATCTCATCTTAAAATAATACAGTGGTACCAAGTAATGAGAGAGCTATACAATTAGGTTAGTTAAATTTTAGTCTTAAGAAATCCTATTAAAATGCCTAATGAGATTTGATTCTCTTTGCAGCTGTATGCTAACTTACACAAAATGGTGTAGTGTAGAGAAGTTCACTGTTTTGGCTATCCAGAAAGTTTTGAGGGAGATATATTCTTTACACCAAGTCTCTTATCTTCTGAATGTGAAGTTTCCCTCCAGAATTCTTAGCATTAGATCTTGCTGTCAACATTTAATAAATCCTCAGTACAGTATAAGTATTCTGTATGATTTCAAAGATTATAGAGAAAATCTAGATGTGCACAGTGCCAATTAGCATAATTGTGTTTGTGTGTTTATAAATTGTGGTCCTCCTATTCTCTAATTTCCATCTGTCTTGTCTTCCCTTGCTTTCTTTTCTTGTTGCTTAAACAGTTTGGACTGGGGACTATGGCTGTTTTCTAATTAGGGCACCCAGCACTGTCTTGAGGGCACAGTAAATAAAATTTGTTTTTTAAAAACTTGGGAAGTACCTAGAATTGGAGGAAGCTTGTTTTCTCATAATGTGTAATAAAGAACACGAAGAAAGGTTTCATTAAGAATTTTACTTCTCACTTTGCTGCTAATCCTTAGTGTTTTGTGCAGAGACAGGGGTAACATTTCTCTGAGTCATAGCTTCAGTCTGGGACTGCTGCCACCCCAAGCTGTTCTTTAAACTGGGCTCCCCTCGCGGATCCGCTCCTGCTTGCCACCCCGTGCTGCTGCCCCTGATAGAGAGGCAGCAACACCAGGTGGCAGGGGATTCCCCAGGAGTGCAGCAGGAGCGCTCTGGCTCCTGGCTCCGCTCCTGGGGACTATCGAATAGTTGTATAACCACTAAAATTTGATTTGATTACACAACTGTTAACCACTAAAATTTGATTTGGTTACACAACTGTACAGTTACACGCTAACATCCTTTGTCTGAAGAGTCAGTTGGAGAGTGAAAGAAGGAAAAAAATAGCTTGTCATTTTTTGTGGCAAGGAAAACTCCATCTAAGGTCAAAACCATTAATAGCAAAATAAATCTGTAGAGATTTCAATTTTTAGGTACTAAATTTTGATTTGTATTAATATTTTAAATATTTATGAAAACCTCTGATTTTAGAAGGAAAAACGTCTTCCAACTTTTGATTACTCATCCCCAAATGCTTTCATCTTGCCATGGATAGTGAGACACTTATTTAGGAGACTAGTTTTTCTCTTGGAAAGAAATGTGTAATTTTAACCAATGGGAAAGCAAACTTCACTCTAACATTCCAGTAGTTCCAAAATCACATATGATTTGTTATGATCGATTGACAGACATAGGTTCTCACCCAAGAATATATTCTGAGAAGTGGAAACATATTACCTATGTTTTTCCTCCCTGAAAGGCACATAAGCCACCTCATTATATCTGTTCCTTTGGGTCATATGGATTTTGATTCTCTAGAAAAGTTATTTAGATCTGTTAGGAAAGTGAGCTATTTAATTTCATGCAGAAAGGGGAAGCCACCGAGTGTAAAATCTGAATATTCTAATTACTTTTTTTTCAGAGAATAAGAATTAAAAGTAAACTTGTCATCCTCTCTGAGGAGAGCTGGCTGACAACTTATTGCTGGGTCTCCTTTTGTTTTACAACTGTCATACTACATTAAAAAAGTAAATTAATTTCTCTACAAAAGCAATTGCTGGAATTCATATGGGGATGTAATATATTTACTTATAGAAGAAGTGATAAATTGTACACTCTTAGATATAATTCACATCGAGAATAAGATTGAGAACCTGTTGGTGTAGCAGAACTCTTGAAAGGCCTTTACATTTTTGTCTGTATTAATTCGTTTCCTCGTTGCACAGGGAAACTATATCCTGGGCCATTGAGTGTAGCACCACCTTCCCTTGAGGGGTCTTGGACACTCCTCTGCAGCAGCTGCAGCTCTAACACACACATGCGCGCGCACACACATCCTTTTGGTTCTGCCTCTGCAGCAGCTGCAGCTCTAACACACACATGCGCACACACACATCCTTTTGGTTCTTGCGTGTACTGCAGAAGCATCAGAACCTTGACTTTTATTAGATGAAAAATTAAATATTAATGATGTAGATCCAGTTTTGCATTTTATGATTTGGTTTTGTATTATGACCATTTGTTTCCACTACACACACTAGAGACCAACTAACTTGCCATTCTTTCTTAAATAAACCTATTTTTATTTTAAGTGCTCAGAAGTGCAGTGTGTGGTGTGGTTTTTTTTTTTTTAAATACAGAAGCAGTGAGTTAAGGGAAACCTAGTAAACTGGTGTACACTACTTTTGGGGCAGATGATCGGGGATTTATATGTAGCTACTGTTAGACCGGCAATCACAGAAGAACGCTTCAAAGGGAAGCAGGAACATATCAAAAGAGGTATAAAGACTGTAGCAGAGAAGACCTTCAAAGGGAAGCAGGAACATATCAAAAGAGGTGTAAAGACAGTAGCAGAGAAGACAGAAGTAGCAACTTGCATGGAAATAGAGGACCCAATGAAGAGAAGCGCATAGATGCATAATCAGAATAGGGGTGACACTGTGTGTAAAGAAGGGAAGGATGTGCAATATTTAATTTTTGCATGAAGGGGGAGTTAGTAGCTGAAAGAGTCATGCAGTCTGGTGGTTGGATTGTTAGTTCAAAATATTCAATGATATTTTTTTCTGATACCTTGAAACCTCTTCTCTTTACACCAAACAAAACTAAAACTCTGAAAAGGAAATAGGAAGTCCATTTTGAAATCTTTTAAGATATTGCAGATATGTTAAATCTAATCTTCTGAACAATCTCGAAAATGTACAAATACTACATTAATTATTCCTGTTTTGTTTTTTATTTCAGACCAGTCTTTCCATATGGGGATGGGGAAGCCTTGTTGTTGTGCTCTTTCTAGTAACTTTTGGACCCTTTGCTATATTTTACTTTGCATTTTATATCCTCTGCTTTGTGGGTGGGTAAGTATATTTTATTATGGATTATAGTGTGTGTTGTATGTTTAATTTAAAATGTAAGAAAACACATGAAATTTAAGAAAAAGGGTAGAAATATACCAATAGGAAGCTGTCCATACATGAGGCATCTAAGAAAATGTAGGATATGCTTCATGTGTTCACTGCAGAGTAGATTTCTTTCATCTTGCATTTTTTCTTTGGTTAATGGGGAAAAAATATCCTACTTCTTGTATAATGTGAAGAAATAAAATGATCTGTGCATGATTTACTTTATTACGGTATTTTATGTATCTGATAACTTTTTTCTTAAGATAATTATTTCCCTTAAATGTTTATATCAACTATTATGAAATAAAAATGAAAACTGGAAATAAAATAAACAGAACTTTATTTTCCACTGAATGGTACTTATTACAATATTTTCTCCCAAATTTGAGCAGTAATCATTTTTTTTCTTGTTTAAATACTTGTCTTATTGATTTCTTATGTTGTAGCAATAAACAGAAAATAAGCATTTTTTGCCAGGCAACTGAGTAACTCCTATTTGAATGCCCACCTTCTTTGGCAACCACACTTTGAAGTGAATATCCAAAGAGATGGCATGAGGATGTAATTTTGTCTAAGTTGTGAGCAGGTGATGGATTAGTTGTGTTTAGATCCAGTATTATCGTGGGCACTGCAGTATGTGATATAATTAAGGTTGCATGTTTTTTATTTCCATACCTGTATATAAAATAAAATTGCATTGCTTAATGTATATCCCAAATAACATAATATGTGTAGTGAGCGTAACCTTATCAGTTGTTTTTACAAATTTTAAGACATATAGTCCTGTGGCACCTTCCTTTACCATTTTCTTATATTGCATTAGTACTGTCTATTTTTATATTTCAATACATACTGAATTTTTGTCTGAGCACTTAATCAAATGTAGTAATCTTTCTGCAGGATGTTATGCCAGTAGATTATACTGACAGATATAGTAATTCCAAGAGGATGCTAAGTAGCAAGTATAGTTAAAAGTAGCATACAGTATTTCTCATAAATATTTTGGAGTGTAAACTCTTCAAGGGCCAGTCTTATGGAGTAGGTCAACCTGCTTAAAACTGAATTATTCTGAGCAAACACTTCCCTAGAAGGAGTGGGCTTTTAGACATGTTTTTTATTGGTAGTACTTCCAGTTAAACACTGATGTAAACAAGCTAATGTTTTTGTTTTGATATGGATTAACTTCACAGTATGTAAGATCTAAAAAGTTCTTTGGCTATACCAAAAGAATGACAGGAGACGTTTGATACGGTTATAATTAGGGATGTGAAAATGTAACCACAGAAATCAGTGGTCTCCAACCTTTTTTACACCCAAGATCACTTTTTAAATGACAGAACAAGCCAAGGTCTACCGCTCTACCCCTTCCTTGAAGCCCTGCCCCTTCCTTGAAGCCCCACCCTCTCTATTCTCCTCCTCTGCATCACTTGCTATCCACAACCCTTATACTGCTGCTTTTTTTTTTTTCTTCCGATTTTTCTGTAGAAAGAGGTTTTTCCAACATTTGGCCTGTTTAGACTGGACCAAATGTCAGAAAAACCCCTTCTTTTGGAAGCCCTCTTATTCCTCGTCGAAAGAGGAATACAGGGGTTACCGAAAGAGCATGTTTGCTCTTCTAGTAAAAAAAGCGGAAGAACAAACATATCCCTGGATGCAGAAGAGTTTTTTTTGGGATATCTCCGGAATCCTGAAAAACTCATGCAGTCTAGCCGTACCCTTGCTGGGTTGAGACAGGATGTGTAGGCTCTGGGGTGGGAATGAGGGATTTGGGTGAGGGAAGGGGTGAGAGGTGCAAGCTCTGGGAAGAAATCTGGATGCAGGAAGAGGTGGATAAGGGGACGCTGGCTCAGGGAGGGAGCTCCAGGCCGGGCAGTGTTGGGGTCAGATGTAGGATTGAGGTACTAAGCAAGCCACGGGCTTATGGATGTGAGGGTTCAGGAATTTGGGTTGGGATATGTGAGGGGCTCAGGGCAGGGGGTACTAGTGTATGATAGGCTCAGATCTAGGGTCTAGGGGAGTGCAGGAGTGTTCTGATGCTGTGGCCAGATGGGGGCTTGGCCCCAATTGGGGGTTTGTTGGCCAGGCTTCATTTTAAAAAAAATACTATGTCAAACACACAAAGTTTCTGTATTGTCTTTGTTTCTGAGAAGGTCAGGGAACCTGTTTTGAGTCAGGAGTCACTGACCCGCAGAAAAGTCGGTTGGGGCCATACGAGTGAGATGCAAAAAAAGAAACCTCCTCCCACCCCCACTCCCCCCCCCCCCCACCCCCCACC